AAAAAAAGAAACAATCGTTTCCGAGTTGGCGAACTTAACGACTTTTCTGGCAGCTGTTCAGTTCTCACAACATCTAAATATAAAATAAACTTACATAACACATCAACAACAGTGATAGGTGAACTATGATTGCCATCAGGAGACAGTGAGACACAGATGTAGTTCCCAGCGTGTGTTCTGTTCACACTCTTTATGTACAGAAACTTGCTTTTTTCTGTTTGCACAGGAATACCGTTTCTGGTCCATAAGACGGACGAACTTGCTACCTTCCTGTTGTGACACGTGATGTTAAGTTCATGACCTTCCTCCACATTCCGAGTAATATTTTGAGGTTCTGAAAATAAATGAAATAAACAGATAAATAGATAAATAAATTAGCAAATAAAGAAGCCTCGACTGTACTCCGGTTCTGTTGCAAAGCACGCTGGAAGCGGTAGACCATGAAAGAAGTGTAGGGGGGACACGTGATGTAGTCGAGTGTTTCTCCCTACTTCTTGAGTGCTCTACCGCTTCCTAAGTGCTTTACAACAGAACAGAGCACATTTCGGCTGGATTTTCAAACCAAACTTTATTTTCCAAGCGACTAAAAGTGGCGTCAGCGTGCGTCTTTTCTCTGATAAAGCACACTAAAATAAGCCAGTCACAATCCTTGTTGGAATTGTTCAAATAATTTGATTGGCTAATGAAGCAACAAATGTCAATCTCAAACTAAACTTCATTGAGTTAACCGTTCGGTTTCGATTGGCTTTCGAGAGAAGCCCGATTGCTTCGAAGTTCGCGTTTTAGTTTAATTTTATAAATAAGGATATAAAGGTTTCTAGTTCAGCATTGGCCGCATTGCGGCTCATGAAAACGTGCACTTTTCCAATGGAAATTACGAAATAAAGAGCTCGAAGCTTGCGGACGAAAAGGCAAAGTGCTGAGTTGTATTTGAAAGGAGCCACAGTTATTTGCGGTTTGCAGTCGCTTACGGATAATCGGACGGATAAAAATAGACGGATTATCCGTCTAAAATGAACACTGTTCCGTTTTCACACTAAGACGGATTATCCGTGCCGGACGGATAACCCGTCTTAGACGGATTATCCGTCTGTAGGGTGAAAACGGCCAATGTGTTTACATCCAATAAACAAGATTGTTGTAGCAAAATGTCTCACCTGGTAGTTCGGTTGGCAA